GATATGCAGCGAGCAGGGCGGAGCTGCGCCGAAAGGCGCAAGAAGCCGCGAGAGCAAGGGACCGGCAGGAGGCGGCGGCGCCGCAGAACGAAGCAGAGGAGAGCGACGCGACAGAAGAAGAAGAGACAAGGGAAAGAACGACGAGAAGGGGGCGACCGCGAGGTGGCATGAAGGTCGCAGCGAGAATCTGCGAGAGACTGCGAAGAGAGATAGGAAGAGGCGGACGCCCAAGGGTGGGCGACGGCTAGCGCATCACACCCCTCTCCTTAAAATCCCTGTGTGGTGGCGGCGTGCCGTCCTCCCATCCCTCCCTTGGGTTGCCCGTTTTCTTTCTTTCTTTCTTTCCTCGTCTGAATTCGGACGCCTGTGCTACCCTTCACACACGCTACACACGGTGTACTAGCACGGCGCATCCTGCGCCGTGCCCCATGAGTGTCGATACTCCAGCATCACACCCTCTGTGCCACAATCGTGTCACGAGAGAGAGAGATTTTTAGCAATACCAAACAAATCTAACACTCACACGTCATTTGGGGCCTGGAGCCCTGTTCACGCGCGCGCGAGACGTGCAGACAGGGTTGCCAGGTGAGAGCGAATGGCGCGGTTCACGCCTCGCACAACAGAGAGAGAGATGCGCTCTGCATGGTGGGACATAAAAGAGAGCGAGTACTTGGGCGAGTAGGCCGTTTGTGTTTGTTGTTGTCACGTGGACGTCCCTTGGACAGCGCGACCGGAGAACCAGTGTTTTGATCCTTTACAGTCCTACATAGAGCCAGCCACCCTCCGGCTCTGAGCCTCCGCGCTCAAAAACGGGCCTATCCTCCCGGGTGTATATTTTTCTTTTTTGTGGTTCTGTGTGTCGCTCCTGTATGGCCGCCACCGCCCATCTTGCACCGCGCTGTTCACCTTTGATACATACATGTACATGTAGAGAGAGAGAGAGAGAGGAATTGTGGATGGGTGCCTGTTCACGAATCCGACCGTAGATGCTCCCGGGACGCGGTCGGGCGATCTGAGTCCCGACTAGGCGCAAGGCTTGCTGTTCACGCACGCAAGAGAGAGAGCCTGGCGGTCCGCTGTACTACAAGGAAGTGCTCTTCTACCCCCACGTGCCACGACTCGGAACGCGAATGTGACAGGACCATCGGGTCCTTCTCAGCCACCAAAGTGAGATCACCCGAGAGCAGCTGAGCCTGCCTCTGGCCTCGCCTCCCTCTCCTTCAGGCATTCGTGGCATCCTATGGGTCGTCCAGAGTATCGACCTCTGGCTTGTCAGTCGCGGTCACTTGATGACCCCCATGAAGTACAGCGATCGCCACCTCGCTGGCCTCTCCGCAGCCCCCCCCGACCGCGTTGAACTCATCGGCGCGGGCTCTCTCGGCTACGGGACCGGCCCCAGCTTCGGCTGAGGGCTGACAAGCTGCCGAGCCCAAATCACTGACACTGTGACAGTCGTGATTTCTTGTTCGTTTTCTAAAATCTCTCTCTCGCACGCAAAAGCGCCACCCACCCACCGGACCAAGAAGCTACGTTCACACGGAGTCGGGAATAAGATTACCAAAGCCGCTCACTATGCTGAGAAGCCGTTCAATATTGTTTTGTGTTTGCCGTTCAACACCTTAGGTAATTGCGCGGAATCGAAAACTTTCTGCCGCCGTGGGCAACCTTCCTTAGATCCGAAATACGGAGTTCGAGTCCATGGCTGCAGGCTTGACTTTTGCTACGCTTCTCTCGGGTGCCGCTCGCCACTGCTCACCACCATGCCACACACCTCTGCCCCACGCGTAAGGGTCATCGCCGCGACGGTGACCCAGACACGTAAGGACCGCCGCCGCGACGGTGAAGCACCCGGCGTCGCCACCTCAGGTCTCCTCGCTCCGAACCGCATGGCAAACCTCAAGCAGGCCACGACAAACGCAGTTAAGCGCTCGGCGGCAGTTCGCCGCCACGGCAACGTGCAGCTGTCCGGCGAGTGGGTGCTCGACACTACAAAGTCGTCGCACGGAGCGCTTCGTCCGTTTCTTATCGCGTGCGGGGCGCCTCGCGTTTTTGCCGGTGCTACACTCTCACCCGGCTCCGCCCACCACCACTAGGGCCCAGTCAAATTCCCTAACCGCGTCGTCCCCACTCGCTCGACGGCAGGCCCGCTCGCGCGCAAGTTCGACAGCGATCATCTCGTGCTCAAGGCGGAGGGCGACGAGGTCACCATCGAGACGCCGCGCTCGGGGTGGAGCCTGCCGATCAAGCTCCAGACCGACGCGACCTATTCCCGCCACAAGGAGACCATCGTCGCCACGCCGCGCGGACCCCAGCGCGCATCGCTGGTGACGGCGTCGCATGCCCCGATGGCGGTCGAGATCATCAAGCTCGGGCCCTCGGAGGGAGAGTTCGTCACCGAGCACTATGTCACCACGGACGATGGAAATCTCGAGCAGCAGCTGACACACCGCGCTGCCGACGGGAGGACCGAGGTGGTTGTGCGCCGCGTCTTCAAGCGCGTGGCGTCCGTCTGACGCCCGCAGCCGGCAACCCCGTCCATATGAGCCGGTGGGAAGCCTGTCTGTCGCTCGGGGCCTACGAGCACTGGGCAGCAGACTCCACTGCTGGCGCTGGCGCACCTTCTACTATGTGCCACCCGCCACTGCTCAAAGTGTTGACATGCTCTCCTCATTAGTCTGACAGTAGTACGTGCGATCTTGTCGATCAGGTTGGTTGTTGAGATGTGTATGTGTACATGACGTGGAGTAATGTGAGGCGTGTGTATAGTCTGATGAGAAGTATTACGTGGCGTTTCTTTCTTTTGCCTGCTGTGAGAAAAGAATTTAACAAACACAGAAAGAAACAAAACACACAACCCAAGGGAGGGATGGTGAGGTGTGTGTCTGAGTCTGTCTGTCTGTCACACACACACACACACACACACACACACACACACACACACACACACACACGCACACACACACGCACGCACGCACGCACGCACGCACGCACGCACTCTCTCTCTCTCTCTCTCTCTCTCTCTCTCTCTCTCTCTCTCTCTCTCTCTCTCCCTCCCTCTCTCTCCCTCTCATTCTCCCTTACACACACACACACACACACACACACACACACACACACACACACACACACACACACACACACACACACACACACACACACACACACACACACACACACTCACACACACACACACACACACACACACACACACACACACACACACACACACACACACACACACAATCTTGATAAACAAACTTTAGTTTGTGCTAGTGAACTGAGGAGAAGGGGGTCGAGCCTCGGCGCAGAGGGCAGCGCCTAGCGGGCGGGAACCCTTACCCCCGCAACCCGCCGCTGCCCGCCGCTTTGTGCGCGGGGCCTCCGAGCGCCACGAGGCTCATGACACAGCTCCCGACGAGCGTCGGCTCCTGCTCAGACAGGCGCCAACCTATCAGTTCTCAAAGCGCAAGTAAAAACTCTTTTTCGCCTCCGCCTCCTTTCGCCCCCTGCTCACCAGCAGCCCCATGCTCACCACCACCACCACTCGCAGTGGCTCTCGCGGCCTCCTGCGGCCTGCTGCCTGCTGCCTCGGTGCGCTCGGCGCGCTTGCGCTCGTTTATGCCGCTCCGGCCGAGGCACCGTCCCTCTTCTCGCGGCTCAAGGACCGGATGAAGGAGCGGTATGATGCAAATCACATCCTCGACGAGCGTGCTCCGGGCATGACGTGCCGCGACCCGGACGGTCCGCTGATGAGTGGCATCAATTCTGCCGTCGAGTGGGCGGTCGCCAAGGTGCCCGAGTCGCGCCTCCACTCGCTGCCGGTCGAGGCCAAGCTGCGGGTTGGGCTGGTGAGGCCAGAGACTCCTGGCGACGCGCACCGCTCCTCTCGCGACGCATTCTGACCCGCCGCAGGTGACGACGACGATATCGGGCATCACGATCGACGCGCTGGCGGTGGAGGCGATCCGTATGCGCTCGTGCAGAAAGGAGAAGAGCGGGTGGCTGCCCAACGTGCTGCCCGACCGTGTCATCCTCTCGGTGAGCGGCGTCAAGGTCACCACCGGCCTGCACCTCGACTCGTCCGGCATCTGCGGCCTGTGGTGCGTCGGCGGCGTGGCGGGCAACGCGACGGCGTCCGTGACCGGCACGCTCAACCTGACGGTGTCGTACGAGAAGGCCAACCTGACCGAGGTCACCGACTGCACGGGCGACTTCCACGTCGGCAAGACGGAGTTTGTGGGCGAGAAGCGCGACGTCGCCATCCCGGAGCCGCCCGTGGGGCTGCCGATATCGCGCATCATCTGCTACGGCAGCAAGCCGCCGGGCGCGCTGATGGATGCGCTGGTGGACGTCGACGTGACCAACACGAAGACGGGCAAGCAGATGGGGGGCGGGCCGCCCTTCGCCGGCCTCGTGCCGCTCCTCAACCAAAAGTTCGCCGAGGTTGCGCCGCGCTTCCGCCAGGCCAAGGCCAGCATGCAGGCGAGGCAGGAGGCGCGCAGGGCAAAGTGGGGCTGACCGGCGCTATGCGCCCTCCCCAGCCTCCACGGGAACGCACACTCAGCTACAGTCCATGAGCCATGACACTAGTCCCTCGCCAGTCATGATTCTCGCGTGTGAGTGAGTGTGCATGTGAACGCTTCAAAAAACCAAAAAAAACGCCCCACGTACCTAGATACCGCGACGAGAAACCTTGGTGCCGCCCGCGTGGTTGCACCATGCTCATACATGCCGCCTTGGCCGTACTCATCGTGCCGTCCAGCATGGCCGAGGACAGCATTATCGACCGGTTTAGGCGATATTTCGGCGCCTCCTCGCCTAGCGGATCTGCTCCCGACGCACTGCAGCGCCTGACCGGCGCCTCCCGGCCTCGCAACGCCTCACTGCAGAGGCAGCGGCCGACCGGCGCCTCCCGGCATCTCGGCGCTGCACCCGGCGCCTCTCTGCATCGCAGCTCCGCCTTAAAAACCTCGCGCCCTCGCAGCTCGGCTCCCGGCGCCTCCGCCGCCGCCGCCCGCGCCGCCACCTCCGCCCGCTCCGCCGCCGCCGCCCGTGCTCGTTCCCATTACACGGCTAGCCATCGGCCAGCGCCACGCAGGGTAGGCGCCGGTGTTCAAGTCCGAGTGTCGCCGGAAGCCGGATCAAAGAACTGCTCGGTCTACTGCCGAACTCCGTGGCGGGCACCGCACGGCTACCCTGGGGTGGCGAAACGCGGCGGCGAGGGCCAGCTGCTCTGCCCGTCCATGTTTCGGGACATGTGCGACTATGTCTACGACTGGCCCTACGACCACTTCAAGGAGGTCGTCTTCCTTCCGGGGTTCGCAGACGTGGTGGCGTGCCTGCCGGCGGTCCCATTCATCTACGCGCAGCCGGGCCCGCCGACGGAGCGGTTCGCAAAGTACATGCTCCCGCTGCTGGAGCGGGCGGGCAAGAAGTTCGTCTTCGTCACCGGCCAGTCGGCGTACGGCGTCCCTCTCAAGCCCGGAGGCGTGCGGCAGATTCTGGCGTCGCCCGCCCTGATCCGCTGGTTCGGCCAGTACCCGAACGCCGAGCACGCCAAGTTTGAGCCCTTGCCGGTGGGGCTGAACTGCTTTGAGCACGCGCCGGAGCTGTTCCGAACCCTGCAGCAGATTGGCACCTACAAGCAGCTGGTCTCTCCCGAGCACAAGTCGTCGCTGCTGATGGTCAACTTCTCGCCCAAGACGAACCCGATCCGGAAGAAGCTCATCGACAAGTACTGCCACGGGGGCGGGTTCGCCCACTGCTTCC